AGGGAGAGGGAGAGTGTGAGTGAGTGTGAGCGTGAGTGAGAGTGCGAGTGAGAGTGAAAGTCAGAGTGAGAGTGAGAGTGAGAGTCAGAGTCCGAGTGAGCGTGAGAGTGAGTGAGAGTGAGAGCGAGTGTGAGAATGAGAGCCAGAGTCAGAGTGAGAGTGAGAGCGAGAGTGAGTGTGAGTGAGTGTGAGTGAGTTTGAGTGAGTGAATGTGAGTGAGCGTGAGTGTGAGTGTGAGTGTGAGTGTGAGTGCGAGTGCGAGTGTGAGTGTGAGTGCGAGTGTGACAGTGAGAGTGAGAGTCAGAGTCAGAGTTTGAGTGAGAGTGAAAGTTAGTGAGTGATTGCTCCATCTGCCTTCTTCGATGTCTCGCTGTGTGGGCGCATATTTTCCATGTATGTGCTTATGCCCTTCTGGCAGGATGTTCAGACGTTTCCATCTTCAGGATTTTGATGTGTCTACGGATGTGTTTGGATTCAAGGCTGCTTTGTCAAATCTACGTAAGTGTACGCTCAAGGCTGTGGGAACAGTAGCTCCGAGAATGGCTCGAGAACCGAAGCTCGGAACCAGGCCGTTTTCCCGGTAGATCGAACTGTACCTGGCAATCGTACCCAAGAAATCAAAGAGACCTGAAGCCTTAACCAAACCATCCCAGTCCCGAAACGATGCCTCCGCCCAGGGCGCCTGCCAACCCCCATGGCCAACTCGAAGAGCGCAAAAGCCAAGGAGATGAAAAAGAGATCCGCCACCTGAACAACCACAAAATCTTGATTAATGTCCTTTTCAGTTTGCGCATCAGAAGTGCCGACGAAGCACACATAGGAATGTACCGTGGCTCTCGGACATTCACAGACCTGAGGTCCGCGCAATCGGCATGATCCAGTAGAGAATGGACTTCCTGAGAATGCTGGCTGCAGGTGCATTGGGTTCAGAAAATGCATCATGGATCGGGATGGCCCTTTGTATGGTCCAAATGTAGCACAATGCAAACCAATGCAATGCAACAGAATGCAATACATACGTAACAGTGGCACAGAGTGACACAATCCACGGACACAACCGCGAGACATACGATGAAGACGATACACCAAATGGCACGTGTCCATGTAAAGTGTGCATATATGTCTAGATGTACATATGTATGTATGTATGTATGAACTTGTGTATGAACAATTGTATGGACGGATGTACGTATGCACGTATGTACGTACGTATGTACGTACATATATACGTACGTACGTACATATTAGTGCGTATGTACGTACATATTAGTGCGTATGTACGTACATATGTACGTGTGCACCAAAGCATGCATGCATGCATGCATGCATGTGCATAGCTCTCTCTCTCTATATATATATATATATATATCTCTCTCTCTCTCTCATTCTCTCTCTCTCTCTCTCTCTATCTATCTATCTTTCTTTCTCGCTATCTGTCTATCAATCTATCTATATCTATATTTATCTATCCTTCTTGCTTTCTTTCGACCTATCTTTCTCGCTACCTAGCTAAGCTATGTACGTGTGTGTGTGTCCATTTTGCTGTGTGGTGTTTGCTCGAGGCATCTCTGTATCTCTATAACTATGTATCTATGTATCTGTATAGCTGCATATCTACATATCTATGTGCCTATGTATCTATCTATGTTGGTAATGTAGGTATGGATGGATGGATGGATGGATGGAGGTAGGTGCGTAGGTAGGTCGCTAGGTAGGCAGGTTTTCAGGTCGGTAGGTCGGTAGGTCGGTAGGTCGGTAGGTCGGTAGGTCGGTAGGTCGGTAGGTCGGTAGGTCGGCAGGTCGGCGGGTCGGCGGGTCGGCGGGTGGGTGGGTAGGTCGGTAGGTAAGTCGGTCGGTAAGTCGATCGGTAGCTAGGTAGGCAGCAGGTAGGTAGGGCAGGCAGTACGTAGAAATATCTCTATATATATATATGTGTGTGTATGTATATGTATATGTATATGTATATGTATATGTATATGTACATGTATATGTATACATGCATATATGCATATATCCATACATAATATATATATATATATACATACGTTTCAACAAATACACATCTCTATACATAAAATAGCATAAAATACGTGTAGTCATCTATGCATTTCTCTAGCTGCATTTACATTAGCATTTATCTCACATTTGTGTTTGTGCACGTATGAGACAGAACACCAAGACGGTCTGGGTCAGAGGCCCCACCGTTGCAGCTGCGGAGGACACGAAGTCCCTCAATAATGTCAGTTCTGCGATGCATGAATGTTGGCAGCCCCCAGTGCATGAGCCCAGGCCTGTAGGGAATCGCCGCCGGAGGCGCTGGAACTTCTAATGGCCTTGGCAAGAAGCAACAATCTCAAAGACCCACATTCCTCCTCCCCAGCCCTTCTGCTAAACCGGTCCTGATGGTCGTGGTGAGCGTGTTCGGCTTGATCAAGCCTTGTCTTGGCTTGGGGCATGGACTCTCGGGTCCATAGATAACAAACCGAACTGGGCCTTGTGGTGTCTATTGCATTGTCACTCATTATTGTCGCTCTGACTTTAACACCATAATCGTTGTTGTGGCTACACTTCCGGCCTTTCATCACGGTCACCGCGCCTTCCCTGGCCGCATCGGACACATCCTTCACAGTGGGACAGTGGGTAGAACCCCAAACCCTCCGCCAGTCAACTCCGAAACAGCCTTGGACCCTCCATACAGAGCTCAGGGAGTCCTTGATTTCTTTGTGGGCCGACTTTGTGCTTTTGGCAAGCAATGCTTCCGTGGCATTCACGACGCGTGGAACGGCCTCGCGCAGTAGCGGTAAGCAGTAGCAGTAGCAGTAGCAGTAGCAGTCGGAGTCGGAGTCGTAGCAGCAGTGGCAGTAGCAATAGCAGTAGCAGTAGCAGTAGCAGTAGGAATTGGAGTTGGAGTTGGAGTAGGAGGAGGAGTAGTAGTAGAAGTAGTAGTAGTAGTAGTAGCAGCAGTAGTAGTAGTAGTAGTAGCAGCAGTACTAGTAGTAGTAGTAGTAGTAGTAGTAGTTGTTGTAGTAGTAGTAGTAGTAGTAGCGTTAGTAGTAGTGGTAGTAGCAGCAGCAGCAGCAGGAGTAGTAGTAGTAGCAGTAGTAGTAGTAGTAGCAGCAGCAGCAGCAGTAGAAGTAGGGTAGTAAGTGTCCGTAATACTAGATAACCAAGTCGACTACTACATTCATCTTGTCCTGCGTTGTGAATTGTGATGATTCTGGTAGCCATGTTGGTAGACGCGGGATGTGACAATGATGTTTGAAATCAGTTGTAATTCTGGTAGGCAGACTACTGTACTCATGAGAAGAATTGGCGATGTCGTCAAGCAACAGCCGTAGCTGTGTCCTGCTATCTACCGCCTACGGCCCACAGCCCGCCGCCTGCCCCTACCGCCTGCCACCTACCACCCACGCCAGCACCACTTACCACTACCGCTACCGCTACCGCTACTGTTCCTGCTGGTACTGGTACGTACTGCTACCGCTACCGCTACCGCTACTGCTACCGCTACCGCTACCGCTACTGCTACTACTACTACGACGACGACGACGAGTATCGTATTCGGCCCTCGATACATCAAAGCACTTCTTCAAACTCAAAAAGCGCACATCCCTATCCGATTAAAACCGCCATTCCTCCCCGCTAAAATCCAATCCTGAACCTCAAGTCCAGAAGCGCGATTAAACCGAACATTGTCTGGGCCTGCAAGGTCGCATTCTCCACCTCATTTACGACCTGCATCCGAGTGTGGGAAAGGCTTGCTTAGCTTTGCCAGGGTTTCGCTTGGTGGTCAGGCTGCGGAGCTTGTGGACGGCTTAGCTTAGTCTGGTAGAGCAACTCTTGAAGCACCTCGTGTAGCTCGTCAAAATACCAACCCCCTACCATTACCAACAACAACGTCCCATACGACAGCGACAACCATCGTCATTATCACGCTTCCATCAGGGACATCAATACAACACAAGCAACAACAACATCATCAACAACAACTACAACTACTACTGCTGCTGCGGCGACGGCTACTTCAACAGCTGCGACGACTTCTACTAGTACTACTGCTGCTGTTGCTGCTGGTACTACCACTGCCCACAGGTGTTGGCGATGCGGTGGGGACGGGAGCAGCAGCAAGCAATAGCAACAGCAGCAGGAGCAGCAGTAGATAGCAGCAGTAGTAGTGGCAATCGCAGTACCGCCTCCGGCACTAGCAAACTGGTAACCCTTGACCATACTGGAAGCTTGCTCAGGTGTCAGCTCGCTCGCCTTCTCACCCTCCTTTGTCGCCTCTTCCGCGGCATGTTCAGCACCAGCGACCTAGCCGGGACACATTACGCACAAGATTGCTGCCTTGCCGAAAGGATGTCAAAGCAACTATCGCGTGCTTGAGTTTGAGCTCCAATTTTCGTTGAAGCGGCCCAAAAACTAGAAGCCATGTGTATGGACACAGTCAGCATCGCGCAGCTCTTGCTGTGTCAGCTAAGAATCAGGGCTTTCCATTTCCTTCAGCACTGCGCTCCCTCTCCTTCTAGGAGCCTGTGATTCAGAAAACAGTCGGAGGGTCTTGGACGGCTCTCAGGTAATTTGCTCGAGCTGCGGCATGCGCTGGTGGTCATCGAGGGTGCTGGTCGTTTTCACATGTTCAGCTTGTCTTCGAAAAAGAACTCTTCCTTCTCTTTTCATGCAAGCTGTTCGTCCGTCATGGGGTTAATCATGCCGACACCAACCTTGTAGCTGCCATTGGTGAATGGCTTTCGTCCCCGAATAGCTCACCAGCACGGACTCACCGGTGACAAGACTGTCTGTCTGCCACCGGCTCGATGGCGCTTGCTTGCTCAGTCCTGCATAGCTTGCTCCTGAACTTCCACGACTTTTTAAAGCTCAGCTGCTCTCTCGATGTGGTGGAAAGGATAATGTCCTCGAACACGGGCAAGAGGTCTTCTGGAGATCTGTGCGGAGATCTCGCGGTACCCAGCACCTTCCAGGAGCTGCTTGGCACCTTGCCTTCAACTCAACCTGTCGGACATATATGGGGGATTGCTCATCCTTCCATGCTGTCGACTTCGACCGTAAGCCCGTCGGCTGCGGACTCCGGATCGTTCTTGCCAGTGGTGCCGCTCTCGGGGGATGCTGGAAGGCCGAGACCTCTTTGGTGGCATGAAAGGTTGCGAACCGGACCTTTCGGCAGTCTTTCGTACCGCTTCTTTCAGAATTTCTGATGCCGACATCTGCCTTAGCTGGAGATCCCCTCTATAACATGTTGCCAGTTTCTAAGAGACGTACAAGGTTTCGCTGCAATGCAGCAGCAAAGCAGGTCGAACATGTAGCATCAAGGCCCCGAACAGGATTGACATATGGACACCCTGCGCCCGAAACCCTGAATTCCAAACTCAAAACCATGAGCGCCTATGCTCGGCAGGACACTGGGATTCCAGTCGCTCCTCACGCATCTTCACAACCCGGAGAAAGGCTTCGGTGACGTCGTTAATGCAGTCGAATCTCCTCTGCTGGTTCGAGACGGGTCTTCAAAGTTGAGGCAGGGTTTTGGGCCTGTGGGGCCTGTGGTTTCGTAGACCCTGAATTCCGGCAAAGACTCTGTACAGTAAGGACCCTTTCCGAGGCAAAAGGGTCATAGGAGGGGTGAGAAAGCATACGACTTAGGATTTGGGGAGTTTAGTGCTAGAACTCACATTTTAGGATTTTGAGATTCAGGTGCTTTACGGTTTAGGGTTTGAGCTTCACGGACTCTCGACACCACAGATCCCATCGCCTACCTAGCCAAGCAGACAAACACCCCAAATCCCAAGAAAGGCCGCCTCAAAGCCATGAGCAGCAGCTACGAAATGAAAAGAATGAAAATGAGTCGACATGCAGGTTGACGCAAAGTGTAACATGTGCAGCAGATCGCAGAAAGCCTGCCATCAAGTAAGCAAGCAAGCAATCGCGCAAGTTGCTGAGGATGTGGAAAAGAAACCCACGGGACAGAACAGAACACTACAGTCACTACAGCACAACCCACAGTGCAGGAGCAAGGTTCCTTCGGCCGACATCCGACCAGTCCAAGGGCGTCTCCGGTGGAGTGACGCGAAGTTCGAAGTCGGAGTCGGACTCCAGGACGCCTTGAACCTAGGGCTTCGAAGGTAAACCCTTTCGGAAGGCTCAGCTTCGGAAACCTGCATCTCAACAAAGTGGCCAAGCTGCCTGCTCAGAGGATTTCCGCTCTTCCAGAAACCTTCTCGGGAACATCCCGTGCTCGCCTTTGCATTCCGCCCAAACCCAGTCACCGCCTTCACCGACCATCAAGATTGTCACCTGCCAAGACCACTTTCGGTTGAAGGTCCAGAACCGATGTCCCTACGCTCTGCGGAGTGCAGGGCCTCGTCACCAGCTTCAGCATGTAGTAACTGCTGGCCGACCGGCACATCGGGAAAGTTCAATGGCTCTGAGCAGACAACCATAACCCGCGGAGGCGCGGGTGTGGTGGGGCCGGCAGCCTGGAAGTTGCTTGCTTTCGGTTTCTGCAGTTGGTCAAGCAGCCGCTTATAACCCAAGTACCACTGCTCTCAAGGAAACCTGGCCTTCGCGGTCTTGCTCGCGGCCTTCAACAACGGTTGCTTGCACTGTTATTCTCTCAACACTGCAGCAAACACTTCCCGACCTTCTTGAGCTTCCACGGTGGAAGCTTCTTGACGAGCGCATCTCTGGGAAACCAGCCTAAGGGATGAATTTAAATTACGACTGGTTTTATCGCAATCATTCTAGCTTGTACTGTTATGCATTTCAACCGGGAGTCTTGTTGTGATGAGTGTAACTAACCTGTAAGTCCTGAAGCCTTCTGTTTAGGCATCAACGAGAAAATCAGACTGTGGGGTGTCAGGGCTTCGGGATCCCGGATACACGTGCTTGCAGCGGAAGTCCAGGCCTCTCTGCTCATCAATCTCTGCCCAGACCTTTGTGTCGCTTGCGCGCAGCCAGGGCTTGACCCAGGTTCTGGCGACACACTAAACCCTGCAATGAAGAGCACAAACAACCTCAACTCTAAAGCAGAAGTCGTCAGCCTTACCCAACCCTACACCTCGGCATGGCATGAATACCAAGATCCAGTCGCATGGGTTCCTCGCAAAATCTCTCCTGATATTATCCAAATAAGTGTGTCCGTGGAGCATCCAACACTTGCTCCCTGGTTATTGGTGCTACGACACCCAAAACTACGCTCAATTGCAAGCCTGGCTGCCCAAGGACTTCCGGCGTCGTCTGACACAACGACGACTTTGTCCCCAACTTTTGCAGCCAAGTAGGATGGTTCGCCGCAATTCTCTACATCATCCTTCGAGACCATCGCGCGAGGCCTGGGCCAGAGTTTTCTCAAAGACTGGGGCGAAGACGAGCCTAGGGCAGCGGCGGCTTGGGCAAATCTTGTGACGCAGCCACACCTCAGATCAGAAGGCCACTGAAGTCGGATATCCCATTGTCCAAAATGCTCGCAGAACAGACAATTTCGGGCTTCGGTGAGAGGGAAGGCAGGATGGAGAATGCTTTATCAGCAGCTTGATCACAACCGGACCATAGTCGTCATCGTTACCACCAGCATCGCTACAAAGGCAACAGTGGTAGCTGCTGGTAGCGGAAACTGCCACCGGCAGCAACAACATCAGAAACGAGAGGGGCTGCACCGCACCCGTTCTCAAACATGTTCTGCCCCTTGGAACGTCCAGGAATCTCCGTCACATCACTGTGAAATAGAATGCGAAGGACGAATGCTTTGTGCTCCGATATGTGAACGATGCTTTGTGCGACACCCTTAAACCGAAACCCGGCTGATAAATAGCAGAATGACCCCATAACGCGTTCACGGATACCAGAAATCATGACAACAACAGCGGGGTGAGTAGCAACACTAATTAATGAGAACGAAATATTACTGAGAATGACAATGCAACGGTTATAACGATTAGTAGGCATCGAACGTTGACGACAGCCGTGGGATCAGGATGTGAATCACAAGTACAGAGGCCATGATGCCAAACAAAGCCGTGCACAACCGTAAGAAACAAGACAAAAACCTGACATCAAGAAGAATGCTCATGACAACAGAATCCGACTCCAAGCGGGGTCTCTCTGAACTGGAAGCCGAGGCTCCCTGTCGTTTCTTGTGGCCAGGTCCGGCTTCCTGCCAAGTGCCCGCGCCTTTTCTGAAGATCCTTGGGAATTCTTGAAAGGATCTGGGCTGAGGGGGGGCTGAGTGCTTCTGGGCTTAGGGTTCTAGGGCTCGTTGAGGGAGATGCGTCCAGAACTTCGGTGTTCGAGCCTGTAGGGCTCATGCTTCCAGGTTCGAGGGCACAGGGCTTGGAGGGGAGATGGGTAGCCTTTGCCTTTTGCGGCCTCGGTGGATTTTGTGTCGATTCTTTTGGTGAAAAGGTTAAAGTCTGCAGAGAGCTACACGGAAATTTCCACAGGCACAATAAAGGACAAGCATTAAAAACAAAAAGCTTGCAGATGCCCTTCCTCAAGCTTCCTCGCTGTGAAGACATGCTCATGTCACGTGAGAGCGGATTGCTGGGCCCTCCGAAACACCACTACCCGCCAGGGAACGGCTCCAGGTCGACGTCTCGGAGCCGACCCTGCAAGGGGTACACGTCGGAGACCTGCAAAGAGCACGGCATTGCGCGAGGGAACTCCCCTCCTTTGCAACGGAACAGCCTGATCACAGACGAGATCCTTGCAGAGAATCAGCGGCTCTGGCTCACCATGAGCCTGGCAAGCCTCCGCTCTGGGGACCGCGCATGCACGCAACGACATGCTTCCTAACGCAAGCTGAGTGGCCTTTCGATGGCTCTTGCCCGCAAGATGCTGCAACATGCCATCCTCTGTGCAGATGCACTTCCGCTCCATGAACTCTCAATGGCGATTTAGTCTTCTGAATAATTTGCTGACGCTCAGCTGAGGCACCAGAGATGGTGCGGACACATCGCAGAGGAAGCAGCAGAATGCATTGCCCAACAGATTGCAGTAACCTGGAAGCTCTCGCAACTCCTCCTCCATCCTGAACAGCGCAGAAAGCGATGGCACCGGCCTAAGACGTCGTTACAGGAAGGCATGTGCGATTTCAGATGTATGTTCATGCTGTTCTGGGGAATGTCGCAGTCTGTGCTTAGAGTGTCCTTCCCGCGACTCTTGTGGAGGAATAGGAAGCGGTGTCCAAACTCGTGATATCGTCAGGCAACAAGAGCTCCAATGAAGCATCTACACCTACGCCGGAGCACCCCAGGAAAACATAAACCCAACATCTCGAAATGCGTTTTACAAGAAAGGTTTTGCCCTCTCCTTGGCGGCCTGGCACATGTGTCGCCGTGGCCTCTATGCTGCAAGGACTGGCGATGGAGCCTGCATGGGACATCACAAAACGCCTTCAAACTCAAGGTTCAGGGTGCACCTGTACACCCTTCACAACCTCAACCGTATGAGAGGCCTGTGATCGCCAGAACCCTCGCCCATCCGGCCTCAGACTCTGCCGATCCCGAAATGGCCCTGCTTCGCACAGGCGACACCTTGGCTTCTCATCACGAAACGTGGCAGGGCTGAGTATCAGTCAAAGGACTGAGGATGCGGGAGTCCCCGCAAGCAAGGGACTAAAGATGGGCTTTTAGGAACAGCGAGACTTGCAAGTAGAACTCATGAAGCTGAGATGAAAGGACTTCCGAGTTCAGGAAGACCCTGGTGTACTGATGATCGGAACTTGGATGGAACGCATGGGCGGCGGCTTCCAGCCACAGAGCCCTAACCAAGGAATCAAGCACCTCTGAAGCTTATGGTGAAGCAAAAAAAACTCTCTGAAGCTCAGAAGCAACAGCGGGGAACAAGGCCCTCGCCAGGAGGCTTGGAACGCAGCGAAGCACGGTGAAGCACGTGCAGCTGGCAGTCGCAGGGCTAGACCCGGAGACGGAGCGGAGGGTCCACCAGCGCCGCGCAGGCCCGCTGAAACCCCCTCCCTGCAGAAACCCACCATCAGTAGGCCTTGTTCCACACATGATGACCAGTGATGGTTGTCGTGCCAGCCCCGCTAGGTATGTGGATGCGGTGGTAAGAGGAGTGACTGTTCTTCTAGATGAGCAGTCGAGGAGTTGAGAGCTGGCAGACAACAACAACAACAACAGCAGCACATCGTGGGAAGAGGTGGAAGAAGAATAACCACTGTATCCAAGGAATGTGTTCTGTGCAGCTCAGATACTCTAGCTCTCCGGCGGCTGAGAGAACAAATCCCTCCTCGCCGGACAAGCGCACGCTCAGATGGCAAGGATCAGGTGAGTCTGGGAGATATTAGAATTGACAGGAGACTGAATGAATAGACTGAATTAACATCTTCGCTTGCAGGCTCAGTGGACCCCACGCAGACAACGAGGCCTGGCCTTGGCAAGGTCTGCCGTGAGTTGCAGCTCCGGCTCTCGACCCTCCTGCGGAGCGGCGCGGAGCGGCGCCAGTTGGCACGCTTCGGAACAGCTTTGGCTTCGGCTTCGAAGTTAAAACAGGATTTGGTTCAGGCGCCCACGCTTGCAGCACGTTCGAGTGCTGAGGGAATGGTCCGCTGAACTTCCACACCAGGCTTGTTCTTTTTTGTTTGGATTATCCAAGCTAGGGCCTTAAGCACTCAGGAGACTTCCTGCAGTTGAGTGGGGGTTTTAAAGGCTTGGATACTCGGGCGGTGGATTTGCAGATGGAAGTTAGACAGGATGTGAGGAGGTCTGATCTGCAATGTAAGAGAAAAGCCTGCGAATGTCTGCATGGTAGCTCTCATTCACTAGTCCACCGCGGCTTGCAATAGCAAATTGATGCAAGGCCCACATCTCGAGGCTAATTTGGATCCTTGTGCAGGTGCTTGGCACCATGCAGGTGCGAGTCCACACCTTGGTTGCTTGGTTAGAAGCACAGGGCCACCGTCTTTCCGTGGAACTCCAAGACCGCAGTCGTGGCAAGACTTCAGATACTGCAGCCGAGCGTCTATCTAGCGTGGGAAATGGACCCGCTTTGCACCTGGGCCGGGGTTGCAAGGAGAACCGCACACAAAATGCTCAGGCCGAAGCCTAAAACTCTGAAACACCGAAACGCTCCGAGCTACTTCTGACACATATACTGGAGGGTGCCGTCCTTCCCCTTCTGCAAAACAATGCCACGCGCCGCAAGCGAGGGAGGGACAGGAGGCAAGATCTGATCGTCCTGGCAGTTTGGCGCTTCAGCGTTTCGAGATGGTGCGGCCCCGGGGTGACCCGGCTGCATGGAGTTTGAAGCGTTTTGAAGATAAAGCTCAAGGCTTGCAGATGGGGAGTTGGTAGCGGATTTCAAGCCGAGTTTGAGGGTTTTGCGCGGAAGACTCTTGTCAGCCCATCCTCGAGGATGCCGGACAACACCATGCGGCGCTTGTGCTGAGCCTCCAGTTCTTTTGTCCCTAAGTCCTTCAGCTTTAATCAGTCTAGACCTTGGACCAATCTACCATAAACCCAGAAAGCTCTGTGCCACGCCTTGTGTCACTTGTCCGTACATTGCCAGGCCAAGGACTCAATGAGGACTGCTGATCACAGAGGCCATGTAGAAGATACAATCAGGCCAGTCAACAAACTGGCAACCAATCAGAATAATCGTAAACATGATAAAAACCATTTTGCCAGCTGACACCTCCCATGCCAAAATCTGGGAAAACTGCTTGCTGATCACACATGTGGATATGCCCTCTAGCATATATAGTAGTTAGTAGTCGTGGTAGTGGTCGTGCCACTGCCACACTACGGTGGATGAGCCGAATACACTTACGAAAGTGAGCATCCAGTTGCTTCGGCCATTTTTGGGGCGACTTCCCCATCAATTCCTCCAAGTCCATGCCCATATCCTGGCTAGCCTGCAGCACGTCCTGGGGGAAGGGGGCTGGTGGAACAGGCGTGTCTGGCACAGCAGGTGCTTGTGGTGATGCTGGTGCTTCGTCGTGGTCCGACTCAAAGTCCCCCAAAGCGGGAATGTCATCCGCGCTGCTTGGCGAAAGCAAAAATTGGCTGAAGGAAACTGCAACTGACACAAGAATGCGTCCCACAAGACTGAGATGCGTGCTGGGTT